AATGAATGTACAAATGCGCTTTACACAATTGATGTATGTATGGATTGTGATAAGAGTTGTATGAGCCCCTAATAAAATGATTTAAAAAAATTCTTGGCACTTTAAAAATTTCACTTAAAAAACATTTAACCATAACATTTCCCCTACTAACCCCTATTAATTAGTTATATTTAGTATAGTGTGAGAATAAGATACACTGTTCAGCTACATACAATCTACCCTTAAAGTCTTTCTAATGTTAAGTATTTATTATTTGGAAATTTTAACCAATGTCATTATTTGTAAACATATCTTGTTCTCCTGTTCCTTCCTGGCAAAACTCCTAAATGGTAACAATAATATATGGTATAACTCCTTTCAGTCCCTAGCAATCTTGAAAAGGGTCTTTTAAAAGATGCATTTAGTAATTTAGTAGGGATACAACACTCACACGTATATATTCTAACTACTGTATATACTCATGTATAAGTCGAGATTTTTCAGCATATTTTTAATGCAGTTTTTGTGGTAAAATTAGGTGCCTTGGCTGATATTTGAGTTGGCTTATACTCGAGTATATACGGTATGTGTCAAATACTGTTCTATGCACTTTATGTATATTAGTCCATTTGATAAAGGAATTATTTAATTTAACAGTAGAAGAACACTTTACTTTGGTTTTTGAAAAGTTGCTGGCAAGAGCTAGAAAGAGTACGTACCAGATCTTCTAAATTAAGGATACCTTAAACCTAAGTATTTTGAATATTTAGAATCAAATTTCAAGAGTAGCTACTCACACAGTAGCAAAACTGAATGGAATAAAACAATGGTTCTTAATGAAAATAAACAGAACTTTTTAACATCAATTTAAATTACATATACTTTTAATAAATTTATAAGGAAGATTATTCAAATGACACAAGTGATTCCTAAAAATTAGAACCTGACTTTACCTTTATAAAATAAAAATTTCACAGTTAGGATCCAACCAACTTCAGTGAGTTAGGCAGTTAATATAAACTTGTATTACACAATCATTACATAAACAAAACACAGGTGTATCAATTTATGTCTGTTTTATAGGCTAAATTTCAAACTTAATTATCAAGCTGCTTTAACAAATGAAGAATTTTTTTCTTTCATTAACTACGAAGATTGTTTTTCTTCTTGGAAATAACTTACTCAAGCTTTGAGATTGGAGTGATCTCTGAGGTAGATGAGCTGGAAATATTGTCAATGTTTTCACTGTCCACAACCACATTAGAAGAATCTTCATGGAGATCAATTGTAGGGAGTGTCTCAAGGACAGGGGAACTTAATTTTTTTGATTCCTTATTCTGTATAAAAATATTTTAAAGAAAATAATATATACATGCAAAACGTATCTAGTTACTAAATATTGAGATTGATAAATCATTTCTTCATCTGATTTTACCAGAAGTATGAAGGTAAGCAAGAAAGAAGTTGTTCTGCTAAAGTCTGGTTCACACACGCATGGGTTTATTCTAAATCAAATGTGTTTAAACATGTCTCTGAGATCAATGAATAGCTACAGATAAGTTCTCTCAGTAATATACTTATTTTCCTTAGGGTGCTTCTGAGAACTCTGCTGGATCAAAGCACAAAGGTCAGTTAAGAATGCTTTCTCAACTGTTTCCTGGGATCCCCAAGAGGTAAACTTGATATATTTTCTCAAAGGGCACAAGATGGTCACATGGGTTTTTATATAGTTTTGAATAAAGCTACACTGGTGAGAAAAAGACCAGGGAAGTTTTGCTGAGTAATTGCTTTCTATCATGAGACTGTACACCTGTCTCATTCTTTGAAGGAATTTTTCCATTAACTTTTTGAACACTCCCTGAGCAATTTAAGAGATGTGTTATCAATAAACAAAAAGCATGCTCAAGTAACAGAGGAGGCTATCATTCTTGCTACTCCTTCAGCCTTGAATATCCAGGGCTATCTACCCAAGCATGTGAAATCTACCTAATACTTAAGTCGTATTTGAAGGCCGCTATAGCAGCACCAGTACATAGCGGGTTATGAGTTAGACTGCAAATCCCAAGGTCAGCAATTCAAAACCATCAGTTGCTCAGTGGTAGAAAGATGAGGCTTTCTACTCCAGTAAAGAGTTACAATCTCAGAAACCCACCAGGACAGTTCTACCCTGTCTTATAGGGTCATTATGAGTCCACATCAATTGGATGGCAGTGAGTTTAGTTTGGTTTATCTCCCCCTGCACATACCCTTCTATCCA